TCTGATCACCCACTCCAGCTGCAGCTACTTTGGCCCTACTACAGATAACTAGATTTACCTCTGGTGGTTTCCCTGTGGACTGGTGTTTTATCCACTTGACATAAGCTAGAGTCATTTGAGAAGAGAGAAGCTCAACTGAGAAAGTGCCCCCAACAGATCAGCCTGTAGACTAGAGCATTTTCTTCATTAATGATTGAAGTGGGGGAGCCTAGATCACTGTGGGTGGTCCTGGGTTACATAAGAAAACAGTCTGAGCAAGTCAAAGAGATGAAGACCATTGGCAGCACTCCTCCATGGCTTCTGCTTCAGCTCCTATCTCCAGATTCCTGCCCTGACTTCCTTCACTGATAAACTATGATGCTGTGGGCTGAAATAAACCCTTTCCTCCCCGAGTTGCTTCTGATCATGGTGCTTTATCACACCAATAGAAATGTAACTAAGATGCCAAGGAGAAATTTGTTTGTCTATTTATTTACTAACTTTGTCAGGCTGCCCTAAAACTAACAATACTCCTGAATCAGTTTCCTATGTCTTAGTCCCTGTTTGTTGCTGTGAACAGACACCATGACCACGTCAACTCTTATAAAAGAAAACATTTAATTGGAGCTTGCTTACCACTTCAGAGGTTTAGTCCATTATCATCATGGCAGGAGTCTGGCACTGCGGAAATAACTAAGAGCTACACCCTGATCCACTGGCCAATAGAGAGAAACTGAGCCTAGCATGGGCCTTTAAAAGCCCACCTCTAGTGACACACTTCCTCCAACAAGACCACACCCCCTAGTCCTTCTAATCCTTCTCAAATAGTGCCACTCTGATAACTAAGCATTCAAATGTATGAGTGTATGAGGACCACTCTTATTCAAACCACCACACATAGTATTGTAGAACTTTCTCTGTTGCCTGGTCCCTTCACTCACCACTCCAAGAACTCTTCTTTCCTGCCCTTGCTCTGTCCTGTGCATTTACTGTTTGATAGTAGAGGTGGGCTGCACTTCCTCATTGTGCCAGTGCGCCGGATTGCCATCTTTCAAACCTTGTTTTCCATTCAGAGATAAGTAAAAGATGCTAGTATAAAAACAATGGAATCCTAGACATATTTAAAAGGTAGAAAAACAGGGTATGCAGATGGAAGGAGAGCGCTTGAGAACACAGTAGTCATGACAACTCTGAGGTTAATACAAATAGACATCTGGGTGTGGCAGTACACACCTTTGGCCCAAACACTCGGAAGACAGACACAGGCAGATCTCATCTCTGTGATTTCAAGGCTACCCCAGTCTACTGGGGGTGTTTTAGGCTAGCCAAGACCACACAGTAAGACCCTGCCTCAAAAAAGAAAACTTAGGGAAGCCCACATCAACTGGAGAGCCATAGCTGAGATCACTAGGTAGCCAATGTGTTTGCAGTTCCAACTGTATACACTGTATTTGGAAATAAAATGGCCCCTATTTCCCTGACAGTAGTTAGGATTATCTTTAAAGCTATCAATTCTCATGATCAAGTCCCACCATAGAATTTGATTTCGTTGTACCTGGCAGAGGATGGAAGGAAATGCTGCTGACAATCTGTAAATACACACACTCACCTACTTTAAGCTACATAGGTAGCTCCCTAATTTTCCCAGCTCTGCAACTGTGTATTACAACACACACACACACACACACACACACACACACACACTCACACACACACACACACACACACACACACACACACGAAAAAGTTAAAAAGTAGGAAATCTGAGTGACTTTGTCACACTGGAACTAGAACCTCTTTGCTTCCAAGGACTATCCACCAGGGTTCCTTGAAACCATGTGAATCCAGCCTTAGGTCACAGCTAAGGTGCCTGAGCTAGAAGAACCAGGTGGCACTTGGGTGGCACACACTGCCACCCCCTCTGCTCCTTGGGGGTACATCTGTGATCCCAGGACTTGAGAGGTTGAGGCAGGAAGACTGTGAGCGGGAGGTCACCCTTATCTTTTTGTAAGAACGTGTCTTACAAAAACAATAAGAAACCAAATGTCCAGTTGGAAAGATGGCCCCCACGAAGCCCAAGGGCATACTCTGGTTGCAACAAGTCCATCCAAAATTTTAATTAACGATCACATTTACAGATGGCTCTAGAAGCCAGGAATAAAACACAATATACCCACCCACTAGAAGAGAGAAGGTTCTATAGAGATTTGGTGCTATGCAACTTCAAGGGCCTGGCTGCATAACAATCACTCCTTCCTCAACTTCCAAATCTGGGGAGCCTGGAGTAGAAGCATTTCCTATCACTGAGAAAGTGTTCTGTTCTATGGAATCAGTTTCTCGATAAGGCAGTAATTACCGGAGCAATTTTACTAGGTACAAAAGCATTTTTAACAGTTTTAATTATTCAAAAGCCTGATTAATTATCTAGTCCGTGGATCAGAGGCCAAAGGGGGATAAACCGTATGAAAATGGTAACCATGGCAGGGAGAAGAGAGAATTCAGCTAACTTCAAACAGGAAGCTACCCTGTGACTTTGTAGTTAGGACTGTGCCCTGCTGTGCTTGCCAAGGATGGATACTGGGCTGGACCTTAGGAGACCTGGAGTCCAAGCCTGATGCACCACTGACCTTATGTCCTAGGCCCATGGACTTTCCCTTGCCGGTGTTAAAGGATAGTAATGGACTGTGGGGTACACCTCATGGCTCTGGAACTCTGTCAGGAGCTGATATGCTATAGCTCTGTAGTGCTGTGTGTGTGCATGCGTGTGAGCATGCTAGTGCCCTCCAAGGCTGAAATTCCAGGTGTTTGTGAGCTGCCAGACATGGGTGCTAAAGCTCAGGTCCTTTGGAGGAATAACACATGCCCTTGACCCCTGAGCCCCATTCTAGCCCCAGGACTTTCTTAAAGTATAAACTTCAGTGAATTTTTCCCTTGAGACAATGAAAAGCCAGAGGAACTTGGAAGAGCATTGGTCATAGTTGAAGGAAAAGAGTTGGACAGCCTTGTAGGATGGATTAGCATAGGGGATGACTGACAGAGAGTGACACAGCTTGTCTGGTAATGAGTGCATTCCTATATGAATGTCTACTTTGGGGGGAGGAAGCTTCTATCATTCATTGAGCATTTATTAAAAACCTCAGATAAGGAAGTGACTTTCTCATGCTGGAACTAACCTCAGCTCTCCCCCAACCCTCTCCCCCCACTACTACTCATCTCCCCCTCCCTACCAATATCCCCTTCCCCCACCACTACTCCCTTCCCCCACCACTACCTCCTTCCCCCACCATTACTCCCTCCCCCTATCACTACCCCTCTCACCATCACTACCCCCACCACTGTCCCCCCAACTCTCCCCAACCCCCGTCCTTCAGTTGCATTTTCTTTCCAGGATGGAAGAGAATATCCTTTGTCTTGGAACCACTCAAGGGATTTGAGAGTTGAGTGGTTAAATCTGATATGGGCATATTTAAGCATAATGCAGGGCAAACTGTGGCCCACCATGGAGGAACTCAATGCCCTCAGGAAGTTATATGAAAAAGATTATTGTAGACTTGAGAAGACAAGAAAAGTGTGATGGCAGGACAAACTTATGAGGTCAAGTGAAGAGAAACCTGGAAGCATGAAGCATAACACTGTCCCCTCTGTGTTGGGTTTTGTGCCAGGTGCTAAGGACACAGCTATGACTCTCCCTCGCCAGCCTGTCTTCAGTGAGTGCAAAGTCCAGGCTCAGTGAAGAGAGGCGGTAAGAATGGTGTTGATGCCTGTCCATCTACAAAGACCCTGGGCCTGTCTGTGATACACCACAGCATGACTGACCTCCAGCACTGAAGTACCTGTTCAGTGATGGCTTGTCTTAATGATAAGCATATTATTTGTCATATCAGCCAATGGTGACATTCCTCATCTGGTGGAAACTATCAGTACACCCAATTCACCTTTATAGAATTATCTTCCAAGAAACCATTTGGGCCTCTAGCTACCAGGATGGTACCAAGGTCTTAATAAGCTTCCATTGTCTCAGAGAATTAAAAACACAAAGAAAACCCAGCCTAGTATAAGGCATCACAAAGCATAGTGGTCTCACCTCAAAGCCGGTCCCAATTTTAAGGAGTTCTCATTTTTTTGTGATTTTTCTGAGTGTGGTTGTGGTGGTTTGAAAGAAAATGGCCCCCAAAGGGAGTGTCACTACTAGGCGATATGGCCTTGTTGGAGTAGGTGTGGTCTTCTTGGAGGAAGTGTGTCACTGTGGAGGTGAGCTTTGAGGTTCATATATGCTCAAGCCACACCCAGTGAGACAGACCACTTCCTGTTGCCTTCAAGTCAAGATGTAAGACACTCAGCTACTCCTCCAGCACCATGTCTGTCTGCATGCCACCAGGTCACACCATGATGATAAAGGACTGAAGTTCTGAAACTGTAAATAAGCCACTCCAATGAAATGTTCTTCCTTATATAAGAGTGTCGCAGTGTCTCTGCGTAGCAATAGGAACCCTAACTAAGACAGTGGAAGAATAAGAAACTCAATTAATCTTAGCTGCCTGGAGATGTCCTGTGTGCCACCCTTCACCCTCACCCCTGGTGTTCACCTGTCATCCCCTGCTTAGCTTTGTCTATGGGTTTTCTCTGCCTTCCAGAGTCCACTTTGCATGGCAGTCATAAGTGCCAGACTCTGAAACACCTTTCCCTTCATACACTTGCTCTGTTTGCACACACCCTGGTGTGCACACACACATTTATTTCTAATGAAGGAAGCAGCTGTCAATAAAGGATAGACAAGGCCTGGTATATAAACAACCTACTCTGGTGTGTACCTCACTGTGAGGCAACACAGAATCCCCTGATGTCCTCAGCAGGAGTAAGTTCTAGTCACTCAAAGCATTAACTAACTAGCTATGACTAATGACCATTCTCTTCCTGCTCTCCTTTGTGTTCTATCTTCATCTCCCAGATGACCATTTGACTTTAAACTGCTGCTTCAGGGTCTTTTCCCCCCAAGGGAATCCAGAGCCAGACACTGCCCAATGAGGGAGGAAAGTATTTATTAACACTCTTATTTTAGACCAGAAAGAAATGGAACCAGAGAAAGGCTGAATAATTTGCCCAAGATCACAGGTCTGGAAGACACAGCCCTTGGCATCAAACCCGGGCTCTAAAGTCTGTATGATGAACCCACCACTATCAGAACCAGGCCAACCACCGAAAGCCCCAGCAGCGTTTCCCAGGGAGACAGAATGCAGGGCTAGGTGGATGAATACACACTCTCCCCCAATTTATCTCCAGCCCCGTCTTAGAGATTCCAGTGCATAATTCCGAAGTGTGCTTGAACAGGCATTTGATGTGATTTTCGATGCAGTGGCAGCCACAGGGTGATCCATCAGCCAGCTCTCTTTGACAGAGAATTGATCTCCGGGGTCAGGAAGTAAACCTCCCATTTACGTAGTATGCACTTGGCATGCGCCCTCCGAGTAGCACGCGGAAGATAAAGCGCAGTCAATGACAATCCTTGTCAATGAGTTTGTTATGGCAAGAGGGGCCACTCGAAGTGCTCTGCTAGCCCTCGGGATAACTGCCCTATGCTTTCTTTCCTTTTCTTTTTTTAATCTGTATTATAAACACTTTGTCTGATCCATGCATCTTAATCCAAGATCACAGAAGCATGGGGAATACTTACCTGGTTCGCTGATCATCCACCATCTTTTCTTTCCAACTGATCTCTCTGAATTTTCTATTTTGTTTCGTGTCTGTCTGAGTAATTTCAGAACCACAGACTGGTGAAAACTGAGTTTCTCTGGGCTTCCTTTCCTCTGTGCAGAAAGAAAAAAAGGCTATTGTAGGAAACTGTCTGTGAGAGTCATTGATTGTTGGTTCTAATGAAAAGAAAAAAGAAAAAAAAAACATTTTTTCCTTAAAGCTATTTCAAAGACCTTGGATCATTATAGCAGAAAATAACCCCCCAAATGAGAAGAGCAAGATGTAAAAGTTTAATATCAGGTCTATTTTGTCATCATAAAATCCTCCCCATTTTGCTTTTGGAGTGAAATTTGAGCTGTTATAATAGGAAACCAAGGAAATAGTTATGTTGACCAAAAGATTATAATGTTTCCTAAATCCATTTTTCTTACTATGGCAAGGTTTTCTGCTCTTTATTCATACCTTAAACAAATCAAAATCATACTTCTGTTTTCTTCTTCCTGTCTTTCATGTAGACAAACAGATATAACTAATATTTAATATTTTTTTAAAAAAGCTAGAATGAAGGGGAAAGGAGGGGTATGAGGGAAAGAGATGTAGGGGAAGAAAGAAAGGAAGAAAAGAAGGGAAGAAAAATTGTATAAAGAAGAGAGTCTTTGGGCTCCCAAACTGGAACTACACCATTGACCATCTGCAATTAAAAATGCAATGGTCATCTAGTTCCTCCAGTGCATCTGAGCCAATCACTCATGTGATGACTTGATTCCAGGACACACCCATTTTCCTGTTTCCAACATCCCAGGCAACTGAATGATGGTGAGTGTAAGGCAGAGGGCTTCTTGATGCAGGTCATCCATCACTGTACTGTGGAGTTCTGGTACGTGAAAGCTAGATTCTGTGGGGCCCAGAAGGTCAGTCGTGTACTGTGTTCTCCAACAGAGGCTGATCTGTGCTGTACAATGACCCCCAAATGCCGAGGCTCTGAACAGCAAAAATGTCTGTCCTGTTCATGTCACTTCCCTGTTGTAAAAATCCTGCTGCTTCCAGGTGTCCTCACTCAGGAGGCCAGGTCACCAGGAAAGGGAGATCTGAAGAATCCTACACTGGCCCTTAAAGATTTTCATCGGAGGTAACAAAGGTCACTCACATCTCATTATCCAAACAAGCCTTAGAGTTAACCTAGTTCAAGGGGGTAGGGAAGCATGGTTCAGAAGAGAGAACAATGAAATACTGAGTGGTCAGAAGCTGCCAGCCTCCTTGACATGGAGGAACACACCATCTTTTAAAGATGGCAATGGCAAATAAATAAGTAAGAACTTAGTAGCTCCCTAGTGTTGCTATTTCTTTTATTGTTTTATAAAAAATAAAACTCAGGAGTAAATATCAGGGAATACACCAGAGATACATGGAGTAACAGAGACACGAACACCTGGGATCTCCTACAAAGTAAATTCTATGTCAAAATCTTCATACTGTATTGTTTAGCAAATAATGACAAGAAAAGAGTCTGTGTGTGTCATGTAGATGCCCTAGATTTTTGAATGCATTAGCATCCACAGTTGTTGAATCCATGGATGTGAAACCATGTACAGCATGGGAACCACAGTTTGTTCTCTTTGAAGTCAAATGTGTACTTATGCGTAAGGACTAATGATAGGGGTGGGATAAATACATTAAATATGCCTGCTAGGCTACAAAGAATAGGCATCTTTTATCAAGTTGAGCCATCATCCATTGATTCATTCTTTCATTCATTCAACAAATATGAGTATGAATATGACCCTACTAGGCTCTGAGCATGTAGCAGCATAGGAGAGAGAACTTGAGACTTCAAAACTGCTATAAAGAGATTTGGAGTGAATTTACCAATGCAGGACTCGGGCTGAACACAAAGGCAGCCCTGGAGATAGAGAGATGTTGGAGCCCGACACACAGAGCACAAAAAGACTCGAGATAGGGTAGCTATGGGCCCAGGATGGGGAGCTTTGAGATTGGCCTAGATGAGCAGTCAAGGCAAGGCCGCCTTGTCTGGTGTCCACCTCCACAGGGTTACTGTGCAGGTTATCAGGTGTATAGTGAGCCCTCTAGTGGACGCTGTTGGAACTCATCCTGAGCCTCTCAGCCTATTAGCCACCAATGCTGGTGCCCACTGCTGCCTTCTGTAGGTGGAACATACCCCTGGCCTTGGCCTCCAGCAGCCCACATTTTGGACTGTCTCTGCAAACTGGCTTTGAGCTCTGGAAACACTCTGCTCACACAGAGATGTGAAAATCCCAGCATCTATGTGTCCCTAGAGCAGCTTCTGCCAGGACCAGTGGACAGTGGACAGATGCTGCTTTCCTGTCGCAGGACATCCTACAGAGTTGCATTCATGCTCCCCCTGTGGGACTTTGTCCTGAAGTCATACCTGGCTGGGACCCGTTCCTCAGCCATCCTCACCTCTTCTGGTTTTTTTATTGTTTTGTTTTGTTTTTTTCTGGGTGTGCTTTCATTTACAAACATGTGCCTGTTCCAGGCTGTGTTTCTCCAGGAAGTACCCAAACAGCACTATGTGAGCCAAGACCTTTGCAGAACTCTGGGGATTCAAACACTGAATAAAACACAGCCTGTTTTCCAAGGAGCTCATGCTACTATGAGCAGAAAAATGCATGCACAAACTATTCCAGGTTATATGTTACAGAGAGGATGGAGACAATGGCAAGGCTCTTCCTTCATCTAAGGTGGGGGTGGAAGGTGTGCCAGCTAGTCTTTATGTCAACTTGACACAAGCTAGAGTCATCTGAGAGAAAAGACCCTCTGTTGAGAGAGTGCCTCCATAAGACAGGGCTGTGGTCAAGCCTGCAAGGCGTTCTCTTAGTGACTGATGTGGGAGGACCCAGGCCATTGTGGGTGAGGACACTCCTAGGCTGGTGGTCCTGGGCTCTATAAAAAAAAAAATGCAGGCTGAGAAAGCCATTAGGAGCCAGCCAGTAAGCATCACTCTTCCATGGCCTCTGCATCAGCCCCTGCCTCCAGGTTTCCTGCCTTTTTTGAGTTCCTGTCCTGACTTCCTTAGATGATAAACAGTGATGCAGATGTGTAGGCCAAATAAACCCTTTCCTCCCCAAGTGGCTTTGGTCTTGGTGTTCCATCACAGCAATAGTAGGCCTAATTAAGACAGAGAAGGGCTCATACATACAAGAGCTTGTCTTAAGGATAAGTAGGAGTTAGCTGAAGGATAGGTAAGGAGGAGCTCTGCAAGAGGAGAAACAGTTGGTCCAAGTCAAACAGGCACCGAGGGAATGAGAAACGGGATGGGAGATGGTTGGTGTATAACAGTGGCGAGCAGTCCGCACGTGACTGTGAGCCATCAAACGGGAGCCAAGCAGGAGGAGCAAAGATGGTCCCTGAGGAAATGGTTCTACAGCTGCTCATCAAGGGAGGACACACACCCTCAATTTGTGCTCCCAGCCCACAAGGATCTCCCAAGGGCAGCTTTTGCTACCCTCAGCAAAGTCCAACAGCACCTGGAGACTTACACTCACTCCTGATGCTCTAACACACACACACACACACACACACACACACACACACACACCCACACACCCACACACACACACACACACCCACACACCCACACACACACACACACACACACACACACACACACACACACGCGTGCTCGAGCACACACACACATTCCAGGAACCAATTAGGAATAAGCAGACAGTGAGCAGCAGGGGCTCAGAATTATTTTAGTTTGATTCTCTCAAAAGAAGAATCTGTTACAAGGACTTAGGCACCTGAAATTTACTAGATATCAATAAAAATATGACCAGAGGGATAGGTACATGAGAAAGGAAGAAAGACAGTCAAACCTTGCACCGGGCATTGGTGGTGCATGCCTTTAATCCCAGTACTCAAGAGGCAGAGGCAGGCAGATTTCTGCGAGTTGGAGACCTGCCTGGTCTACAAGAGCTAATTCCAGGACAGCCTCCGAACCCACAAAGAAACCCTGTCCCAATAAACAAAACAAACAAACAAACAAAATCTTGGAGTGTCCCCAAGCATGTTAACACTGTGGAGAACAGGAATGTAAAGCCTGGAGAACTATGGAAAACAGTCTCTCTTATACACACACACACACCTGAGCTCCACCAGAAGGCAAGAGTGGCCTGGTGTCTCTCTCAGTTAGCTGCTGGCTGGAGGCAGCTCCCAGAAGGTGTTGATTCTCTGGGTGTTGGCAAAGGGTCAACAGTTAGAGAGAAGATACAGGGTCAGTAGTCAGACCACTGTACCCCAAAACAAGATGAGCACACTCAAGTAAGGCACCCACATGCACACCCCACTTCCTGCTTCCTGTTCACCCTTCCAGATGGAAAGGAGAAATTCCCTGAAGTCTAAGTTTTCCCTTTCTCCTCCACATAAAGGTCGGAAGAAGCAGCAGAAACAAATAGCACCCATCAAAGTGGAGAAGACATCCATCTCCCAACCATTCGAGCTCCGTTGTCTCTAAACTACTTGGGGTTAGTTAGCATAGGTTCATTTCCTCACTCCATAAAGCAGACGGGCAAAGGAGAATGAACTCACAACCACCCTTGGACAAAGTCGGGGTATGATGTGCCTTTGAGTTTGGTAAAGAATCACTGGCTCCACCCACCTGAGAGTGACGGTGGAAAATGGCATTTAGTGGGCTGTGTTCAAAAGCAGAGCCATTGGGAAGTTTAGGATGCGTGACCATAAGGGAACATGGAGAATTGTCTTTTCCTAGTGCGCTGTTTCGCAAACTTCTTTGGGGGCTGGGAGTTCTGTAGGAGTGAGGCGAGAAATGAGAGGAGGGAAGGCTTTCTGCTCTAAGTGCCTGTCTCCATTCCAGCGCCCCTAGGAGAGGAGCTGGTAATAAAGATCGACATGCAAGCCGTATTTGGAGAGTGAGTTCAGGAACCAGTGGGGAAGTAAGAAAGGAAAGGGAAGAAAGCATTAGATCTGTTATGGAGATGGTGAGATGGCTCAGCGAGGAAAGGCCCTTGTCATATAAGTCCTGAGTTTGCTTTGGGAACCCACAGAAAGGTGAAAGGAGAGAACCAGCTAAGTAGTTGTTCTCTGACCTCCACCCATGGCAGAATAACAAATA